GGAGATTGAATCTGAACCGTATGATCGAATTGGATCTAACTGTTCGATCACACCTGAAGGAAAAACATATCCGAGTCGTTCGTACACACGATATGTGATTTGGACCGTCAGATTGCCCAAACACGTGGATCACCCGCATGGTCTCCTGTGTGGAGCAGATGTCAGCGTCTTCACCACGCGGTATTTTCTGGTTCGTCGTGACTGTTGACGTGTTCATTCCACGTGGCCATATATTTTTTTTTTTTTTGCAATTTCACTCCATGTTTTCAAATTTTCGTTAAAAAATACCTCTCCTATTCATAATTTCACCAATTTTTTTTTAGAATTATTTTTAATTTTATTCATAATTCATTTAAAAAAATTAATAAAATTTAAATTAAAATAAAAATTAATTATATTAATATATATTATATAAGTTGAAAAAATTTATCTTGAGCTAAATTCCAGAACCGGGTGTGAGAGAATTTAACTTAAATATTTTTTAAGGTATAAATACTAAATTAAAATTAAAATTAAAAAAACTGTACAAAAATTAAAACTATATTTAAGCACAATTTATAGATAAGTGGAAAGCACGATGTGCACAGGTGGCGGGGCATCAACTATCAATTATTAATGTATGTTTATTTTTTAATTAGAGTGTATTTGTACTTCTACTCGTTTATTAAATAAAGATACTCAATAACTTGGGGATATATGATTTATATATCATAAGGTATTGTATTAATTTAGCCATGCTATGAATGTCCATAATTCTATATTGAATTGATTAGCGGAATATAGTTTTACAAAAATTAGTTCTTTACATTGTCAAATAATTGATCATGTTTGGTTAATTTAAAATTTAAAATATATAGGAAATACTTTGAGTGCATACATTTATTATATTTTTTAAAATAATTATTAAAATACTAAAAAAAAACATAAAATAAACTTAAGAATTTCTTAAATTTAATTTGTTGTTTATAATTGGTTCGTAAAATTTTATAAGACAAAAAATTTAATTTTATTAATTAGTATTCAAAAAAACTAATAGGTGTTTCAATTTAAAAATAATTAGCACGTTTTTTAAGTTTATCTTAGTACAAATATTTTTTTTTTTATAAAAAATATATAAACATTAACCAAAAACTATGAAACATATTTTAGTTTGATATTTTTATGATTCTTAATTTATTTAATGAATTTTGTATAAGTTGTTGAATACCCAGAAAAATAGAAGTAGCTGCTGCATTAGCTGAATCAACGTTGGATGAACATGTATTACTTGTCACCAATAATCATCACATGCATATATAATATTTAAAGAGTATTATTTTAGTCCAATAATCTGCTGAGTCACCTGAAAGATCAGATCAGATTGGTGTGTGTACTTACAAATTGACAGGACAAATGCTTGTGTTCGCTTCCATATAGGATGATAAATATCTGTCTTTATCTAACATGTGCTAGAATATATACTATATCTAATATGCCTACAATTTTCTTTTTTTTTATTTATTTATTTATTTATTACAGATGATTACTCAGCTAAAATATTCATGGATTCAGAATTTTACAGGCTATTTTGTCTTTTTTTTTTTCCTCAACACTATTTGTTCTTTTTAATAATAAATATGACCTCAAAATGCATTATAATAATTATATTTACTGTGAACTTTTGTCAAAATTCTAAATCGGATTTTTAATTATTGTGCCTATCTAGATTTTACATACAATAAAATATATTTTTTAAAAAGATAATAAATTTATTAAAATTTAATATTATAATAATATACTAATTAATTAAATTTTTAATTATAATAAATTAAATATTATAATTAATCACTGCTATTCAATAACATATTAATAAAATAATAAATTTTATATATTTAATAAAATTTAAATTTATGATATTTATGTTATTATCTATTTTGACACGTATATTTATATTAATATATTATAATTTATACAGACCTAACTCACATATAAACAAAGTTCCAAAATTGAGTTAATGGAAATTGTGTACATTATTTTGATGGAGCCAAGTATTGTGTGCTTAAAATTGTGTAGAAATAATTCCATGATTTAATATTTATTTTATAACTTCACACGTGTATATGAATGTGTTTATCCACCACTAATGTAAAAACTACGTATTTATGAAATCTACATAATTTTTTAAAACCATATTATAATATAAATATAATGAGAAATTAAAGAAAATATTTATAATTTTAATTTTAATTTAATGTCCAATTTAAAGTATGTATTCATATAATTTAGTTATTATCATATGAAACTAAAATATGTGTTTACAAAATTGAGTATATAAAATAAATAAAATTTATTAATTAAATAAAAATTGAGTAAAAAATTTCAAACTTCATCCTTACTTTTCTATCATTTGTTAATTGTTAATTAAAATATATATCTTTGAAAATAAAATACTTTTAAATTTAAAAATAAACACTCAAAAAAGTATTTTAATACGTACCAAACTGATTTTTTTAATTTTAATGCACAGGAAATTAGAAAAATATTAGTTTTTGGATTATGGTGAATCTGAATTGGATTTAATTTAAACCCCAACTTGGTTAACCGTTAATTCAATTACAGAAAACAGAAGCGATTTCCATGATTTTTTGGCAGGCAATCATGGCTGTGATTGTGAACACGGAAAAAATCCAACAAACGCCGTCGTTTTTAAGTATCATTTCCAAATATAAAACGCCCTCGTTTTCTGACTCAGTAGCTGGGCACAATCACTTTCCTCCTGTTTTAACCACTGTCTTTGAAGTCCTTCAGAAGACACAGAATAAAGAGCTCGAAGCCTCCGTCTATCTTCCTCTCGCTCCCTCTGTATTTCGTTGACCTATGAATCTCTCTTCGAGGAAACCACAAGTTGCGCATCCGCAAGCTCGAGATCTGCAATTTGTAAGGCTCAATTTCGTAGTTCCAAGGTTAGATCTCGTCTGCTTTCACTTTCCTTTTCGATTCTGTTTAGCTATCTAGGGTTTCGGCAATTAGCCTCGTGGTTCATATAATTCGACTTTGTCTATTGACATATGTTTTGTTCTATTTGTTTTGTTTTAGATCTCTCTTGATAGCCTGAAAAAAGGGTACGGTTCTGGAGTTCAACTCACTGCAGCCCCAGCGGCCAAGTTACAGGTTCTTGAGTGTCTGAGTACTTATGTTTGTTTACAGATCTGGGTTTGGTTGTACTTTTGACTTTGTTGATTGATTGGAAATGTCGGTTTTACTGAAAAGCGATTCAATTCAAATTCGAGAGGTTTGGAACGATAACCTTGACGAAGAGTTTGCTCTGATTCGTGAAATTGTTGACACATATAATTATGTTGCGATGGACACTGAGTTTCCCGGCGTGGTTTTGCGCCCAGTAGGGAATTTCAAGAACATTAGTGACTATAACTACCAAACTTTGAAAGATAATGTTGATATGTTGAAGTTGATCCAGTTGGGTCTCACTTTCTCCGACGAAAATGGGAGTCTTCCTACTTGTGGAACCGATAAGTTCTGCATTTGGCAGTTCAATTTCAGGGAATTTAATGTAACGGAAGATATATTCGCAAGTGATTCCATTGAGTTGTTGCGCCAATGCGGAATTGATTTTAAGAAGAATAATGAAAAGGGTATTGATGTCAATCGGTTTGGTGAGCTTTTGATGTCGTCGGGGATTGTATTGAATGATAATGTCCATTGGGTTACCTTTCATAGTGGGTATGATTTCGGATATTTGCTGAAGTTGTTGACATGCAGGAATTTGCCGGATTCTCAAGCAGGGTTCTTTGATTTGATTAACATGTATTTTCCCATGGTATATGATATCAAGCATTTGATGAAGTTCTGCAATAGCCTTCATGGTGGATTGAACAAGCTTGCCGAGTTACTGGAGGTGGAAAGAGTTGGTATTTGCCATCAAGCAGGCTCCGATAGTCTACTCACATCTTGCACTTACAGGAAGTTGAGGGATAGCTTTTTCAGCGGCTCAACAGAGAAGTATGCTGGTGTTTTGTATGGACTCGGTGTCGAGAACGGACAGAATACTACCAATTGAAATTAAAAATAATGGGGGATTGATTGATAGATTTGTGTAGACTACTCAAATGTGAGACTGAATTCTCTTTGTATACGATGGCAAAAGATTGTTGCTTTAGTTGTGACTTTTATCCTTTGGTTGATCTGTAACTGAAAAACCTTGATAGGTTTTGTAGTTTGAGTTTCTTGTAAATTACTGAAGTTAGTGTTTCAATAATAATGTTAATGATTTCCAACTTCTGCTCATTTCTCTTTACCATTTAAATGTTGTTTTATCTTTTATGTATCAACTCTTATGATTTATTGTTCTTCATGTCTCTTATTGGAGAATTCCTTTTCTGAAACTTCTGATTGGAAAGGAAAGAGTTAATTTCCTGCCCCAATTAGACACCTTATCACAAAAAGAGTTGAGCTTGAAACATGCTTAGCTACCCTCTTGATGGAATTGCATCAAATTCATTGTGCTTGAGAAGTAATTTCTACAAGAAGCAGAAAACATGGTTGGACTAATCCTTTCTATACTATATGAGGAAATGAATAGTGATGTCATCGTGTGAAGGGGATGTATATTCATGGATACCATTTTTTCCTTGCATTATATCTTCATATTTGCACAACTTCATTTCTTCGATGATGGGATATACCCTGCCTGGGATTTTACAGGAAGATCATTGTGAAATTTGTGATCCTGTTAAGTGTTGACTTCACATTCACCCATTTTACCTTATTTGCTTCTACTTCTACCATGATATTTTACTCTACCCTAAACAAATGTGAAGACGGAGAGAAGTTTACACTGTATCAGCAGAAATGTCATATAGAAGAGTGTAAAAAATGTTAGTTTTACCTGTAAGTAGTTGTTTTCTTTCTTTCTTTCTTCACCTCTCACTCTATCCACTAAAGAAGGGGAAATTTGCATTCAACTGGCAGAACAGTGATGGAAAATATGCTGTTTTTGTAGCCTCCCTGTGTGCCCCTCATCCCTAATGCATGCAAGTCTAGGTGCGTTATTTCTTCAAGTTTTCTGTTACTAATTTTTTTCTTGAAAAGTTTGCTAGCATTATTTCTTATTTGTAGATAAAACTGAATTTGGTTTTAATAAATTCTTCTACTATGAAATTCAGGAATATCTATTTACAATAAAAATAATATCAATTCATCATCGTTTCAGCAAACTACTCTGTAAAAAGTCTGTGAGTTACGGAATTATTTTACTACCGTGTTTAACTAGAACGTTTGAGTTCAAGAAAATGAAATATGCTATTTATTTATTATAATTTTTTTTTAACGATAATAATTAAGATTTTAACTGAATTTCTTTTTTTATTTATAATTAAGTATAAGTAATAAACTATCTTCTTCTATTGTTAGTCGTCCTTTAATTTTTTAGAACAAATAAAAACCTCTGGATGAAGTTTAGGACCTTAAGTAATTTATTTCAAATACAAACAACAATAAATTCATTCGTTTTCAATTTTGTTCTTCCCCAGTCTTCAAAAAGAATTCTTCTCTGTTTATTCTAATATTAAATCTCTGTTTATAAGCTCTAAGAATACTTAAATATATTATAAAAATATAAAGTAAGACTATTTGAATTAAATAAAGAGAATATTAAAGCCGTCCCACTATCCATTCGGGTTTGAGACGGAAACAGAGAAAAACAGAAAAATTTCTGGATCCAACTGACCCTGTTGCTATGAAATGAAGACTCGTAACTCGTAAGTAACGACTCAGGTTAACCATTTTACCCAAAATATCCTCCATAATTACAAAGTTGCCACTCCTCTAGTGCATTCCTCTCTCTCTCTCCCTCTCCTCTCTCTCCCCTCCACCAGAAAACCTGCGTAAGTGCGCGTAGGAAAGTTCCAACCAACTCCGCGCATGGTTGGAAGCCGAGTACGAGACTCGTTTCTTCCTCTAACTCGTGTCATCTTAACTCGCTTCCCTTTCAATCTCCTTCCTTCGCCAGTTCACCGCAGGTCAGTTGGTTGTCTTACCATTTCGTCCTCCTTGTTTTGTCTGCACTTCGGATCCTAACGCAGAGGACCCGAATAGGTCTGTATCTCTTCCGCCATGTGCAATTACGAAACGCTTCTCCTCTTCGCGTTTCTGTTCAATTTATTCATCTTCTTGTCATGTGCCGATCCGGCCCATGAGTGCTCCAATAAGAGCTCCTTGATCGGGTTCGAATCTGAGGTCACTATGCTCCAACACCAATTGCGAGGTCGTTTTACGGTAATCGACGATTGCTCGTTTAGGGTTTCCGGGTTCGATATGTTACCCGGATCAGATGTTCACTGGTGGGGCGCGGTTGCATCTGATTTCGCGAACCTCACCGGCGGCTTCATTATCTCCGAACACAAACTCAATGGAACCTACAAAAATGCATCGTTTACCGTGCCTCTGATGAAGAACATAACTTGGGACCGGATCCGGGTTCTCTCCGTCTGGGATAAACCTACTGCATCAGATTTCGGACATATTTTGCTGCCAAACAGTTCGGGTTCGGGTATTGGCCAAAGTCCGGATTCGGCGCCATCACCTTCCAGCGGCGAAGCGGTTTCTGGAAAAGAAAATAGGTCTCGGGTTTTGGCGCCTACGATGTTTGAGAACTGTATGGTACTTTCTGAAAAATATAGGCTTAGGTGGACTTTGAATTTAGAGGATGATTCTATTGACATTGGCTTAGAGGCCGCCACTGCATTCCAGAATTACTTGGCGTTCGGGTGGGCAAACCCTAATTCCTCTTTCGAGCTAATGCTTGGTGCCGATGTGGCGGTGACGGGTTTTACAGAGGAGGGTCTGCCATTTGCTGATGATTTTTACATAACAAAGTACAGTGAGTGTATTGTGAAGAACAATGGTTCTGCTTTAGGGGTTTGTCCTGATGTTCTATATCAAGGATCTAACCAGGCCAGTTCAGTGAATAATACGAAATTGATTTATGGGCACAGGAAAGATGGGGTATCCTTTATTAGGTATAGAAGGTCATTGAATTCTGTTCATGAGAAATATGATTTGCCTGTGAACCATACCGAGAATATGACGGTCATTTGGGCCTTGGGGTTGATAAGGCCACCAGACAGTATTAGACCTTACTATCTTCCCCAGAATCATGGTGGTTTAGAATCTGAGACTTTTGGGCATTTGGTGCTTAATGTTTCAGAGCATGTGGATGACTGTTTAGGGCCTCTGGATGCGGAGGATAAGGAGGATCAAGATTTAATAATTGCTGATGCCAAGGTACCTCTTGTCGTGACTACAGCTCCGGCATTACATTATCTGAATCCTCCAAATCCTTCAAAAGTGTTGTATATTAATAAAAAGGAAGCCCCTGTTTTGAGAGTGGAAAGAGGGGTGCCAGTGAAGTTCTCAGTACAGGCAGGGCATGATGTCGCCTTTTATATTACCTCTGATTTTCTCGGTGGAAATGCCACCTTGCGTAACAAGACTGAGACCATATATGCAGGAGGGCCAGAAGCCCATGGAGTTCTAGCAAGTCCAATGGAATTGGTTTGGGCACCTGACAGGAATACTCCTGATCAAGTTTATTATCAATCTGTGTATGAGCAGAAAATGGGTTGGAGAGTTGAGGTTGTTGATGGGGGTCTTTCCGATATGTACAATAACAGTGTTGTCTTGGACGATCAGCAAGTTAAATTCTTTTGGACCTTATCTGAGGATTCACTATCTATTGCAGCTCGTGGTGAGAAGAAAAGTGGTTACCTTGCAATAGGGTTTGGTAATGGAATGGTGAATAGCTATGCTTATGTTGGCTGGATTGACAGTAATGGAACAGACGGGTCAGTACATACTGGATTGATGGACAAGATGCATCCGCGATCCATCCAACAAATGAAAATTTGACTTATGTGAGGTGCAAGTCTGAAAATGGCATCATAACACTGGAGTTCACCCGTCCCTTCCAACCGTCATGCAGCCATAGTTCTACGCCCGGAATGTAAGACCTCATTGATCTACAACTCCTCTTAAAGTCATTTGGGCTATGGGTGCAAATGACGATGGACATCTACTGAGAGGAATATGCATTC